TGGCGCGCACGCGAGCGCGCTAGAACACGAGAGAAAAATTCATCATCACTGCAAATTTTCTGTAAGTCGATCAGATTTTTTCCTCTCACACGGCAAAAAATGACCGAAAAACGTTTTTTTTTAAAATTATTATTTGGAAAAAATTAATCTTTAAGATAACATTTTTGGCACAGTTTCATTCATTAGAAAATTTCTACCAAGAAATTGACCTAGTTCATCACAAAGTAACCAACCCACATTAGGCTGAAACTGAGAAAAAGAGGTTTGAAGTTTTATTCCTTCATAAGACTCATTGTCAATGTAGAAAATGAACTGTAACCCCTCTTTTCACCGACGAATTTTTTTCTTCAACTTTGAGTTTTTGGCAGGAGAAAATACACGACTAGTGGAACTCAAAAACATGCTTAACTCAAATTCTTCGGAAATTTTGGTCGGTTCCTTTCTGATGAACTCGCGGTCCAAATAAGAACTCCCGAGTATAGACTCGTTTATGCTCGAGTATAGACTACATTTTTTAATAATTTCATAAATAATCACCAAACAAAGCAAAAGATAAAAAATAAGAAAAAATGAAAATATACTAAAAGAAAACAGCATAAATTTAAAAATAAAATAAAATTCATAGTAATTAACTTAAAGTATAGACTTGTTAAAGTATAGACTTAGGAAAATGTTCATTCAGAACAGGTCATTCCAAAACAATTAAATTCGCCATTGATGTAAAAGTTACTTTTCTTTGGATAAAAAAAGAGGAAATCGTTCGAATTTTTTGAAAAAAATTCTCTATCTGAGGAGAATTTTCCTCCAGGTTAAATGGACGTTGTTTTGAGTCCAAAAAAAGGTCATGTCGACGGCTAAAATGCGAAACTACGTACCTCCATCGCGGCGTTTCAAAACCTCTGCTCCTACTTCATTTTATCAAAAAGAAACAAGCCAACTTTATAGCTTAGAATTTTTTACGGAATATTCCGAGCCAACTTCATCGCTTAAAATTTAAACAGAATATTCTGCTAACAGAGAAGAAAAATCTAGGAGGTTTTAAAAAAATTAAATTGACCGGTTTTACGGTTTAAGAGAAAATAAAGTATGACAGGAAGTCTGCGACGTCGGAAACAGAGATACGAGGTTTTGCACTTTGATCATGGATAAAAATTATCTAAATCTATTCTAAATCAGTTAAAACTTCTAACGGATTCGGAGATGGGATTAATAGATATTTCAAACACAACAAAAATCAGTTCACTTCACTAGCCTCAATTGTTAGATGTTCCAGTATGGAACTGCATAGGGCATTGGTGCAGGCACGCGAACTTATTACGTGAATACAAATTAATGATGTAACAAAGCTCATACGCATCTGTATGAATTTTCTTAGTGGCATAATCTCTTTTCTGTAGTTTCTATTTTCCGCATAGCATCCCACAAGCAAAGTATACCCTCCTATTTTAAGCTCTGATTACTTAATTTACTGTGCGCTCAGCTTCATGCTTGACACTCCATAAAACCGACTTTTGCAAAACAGAATATTGACGGTGTATCACGTCGTTTGAGATAGCTTGGAGTCACGTCGTAAAGCAATTACGACAGGTCATTAACGAAGCGCTATCGGATAGGGATTCTTCAACTCTACAAGTGCAGCTAGTGACGTTATGCTGCGAAGCAAGATGTGCACTGTTAAGGTGTTGACAGTGGACTTGAAATAATTGTCATTTTCTCCACGTTATTATTTTAGCTTTAAAGTAGCAACAAAAAAGAGTGATTAAAAATAGCGACCAAGAACCATTTTTCAACGGAAAAATTTCGCTGTTTTTACGACTTTTTGGGAAAAAAATCGCTAGGATCATCACCCTTTTAAAGATTATCCTCGATCTTGATGCAATTTTATCTCTATAAAACTGCGTTTGATAGAATCGGATTTTATTTCAATTTATCTCGAATTTTTGATCGATAATATTGCAGTAAATCGCCGTCGATAAAACTGCGTGTTATTGCAAATTTATTCGATGAAATCGCAATTTATCACAATTTTTAATTCGATAATATTGCAATCAATCGACGTCGACAAAATTGCGATACATTTTCCGATCGAATCGCAACTTATCGGGATTTTTGCTACTTGGGTCATGGGGTATATTCCACTTTTTGTATGTATAATTGGACTACATTTTGCAATTTGAAACTATAAATTCTGGCTCATCCGAAAAAAACACTTATGTGCATAGGGAGACTAATGACACATACGTTCTTTTTAAACCAGGCCAGACTTTATTGTTCCAAATTGCAAAATGTAGTCCAATTGAAGGACGTGGGGGAAAAGGAGCATAAGTGCAGTTTTTGCTATTTCGAGAAATACACGTTTGAAGTTTCGAAATTACATGGAACTTTATGGCGGAAATAAGGTTCAAACTGGCTTTTTTATGCTTAAAAATTGGAACTTGGGAGCGAATTTTTCACAACATACGCATTAAGACTAGTTTTACTTGACATCATTGATATCTCAATTTTTTCAAAATCTGCACTTATGCGCCTTGTCCTCAAAGCTCCTCAATTGATGTCAATCGAATCTTAATGACAACGTAGCACTGCAGCAGTCTATAACATTGCCGTGCTAAGGAAAAACGCCGTATAAACCATCAGGCGTTGCCAAATTTCCTTTGATAAAATACGAATTTCATGGTAAACGTATGAATATTTTCCTCCCAATTTTTCAGAAAATTTTGTTCGCAATGTCACCTAAAGCCCCTGAAAGTTTCAAGGAAAAATATGCATACCTTTCTTCAAATATGAAAACTTCATCGAAGGAAATTTGGCAACTCTCGAATGTTCATACGGCGTTCTTCCTTAGCACGGCAGACCAGTTGAGAGACTCAAACGCACGAGTAGGAAGAAGGCGCACGGTCTCACATAAGTGACGGCGCATACGCTTGTTTGCGGTGTGAGATTAGAATGAGGGAGAATGGAGGGATTGACCAGCCCCTGCAAAACAAGCATAAGTGTGGTTGAAGAAGAGCCTCCTTTCCTGTCTTATTCAATGATTCTCAGACCTCGAAATTACGATCCGGACAATCGGTACGATAAGTTATTGCTACGAAGAGAATTACTTTCTCTCCGGAGAAATTAGTTAGTGTTCCGGAGAAAAATATTTCCTCTTCGGAACGATAAGTTATTGCTTCGAGACGATGAGTTATTGCTGGGAAAAGAAAATATTTTTCTCCGGAACGCTAACTAATTTCTCTGGAGACAAAATAATTCTCTCCCAAGCATAAACTTCTCGTTCCGAAGAGAAGATATTTTTCTCCGGAACACTAACTAATTTCTCCGGACTCGAATCTCAAACTTGACGAAGTGAAGTGTGAAGACACTTTGAGAGAATCCGAATACCCGTAACTGAATAACCAGCAGTTTCATTTAATTGTACTGCGCCGTAGCCGTATGCATACTTTCACATCGAGCAACTATTTTAACTCCTCGGAGATCAAATTGCATAACTTTGAAATTGAAGGAGTTTTGAATACACGCACCGATTTGTGGCGTTGCACGGTTACTGCGTGGTATTGCCTCCTAGAGGTGTGCTTTTACGTGCCGACGAGTTTATAAAATGACCAGTGGCGGGGTATGAATGATCGATTACACGGCACAACATGGGTTCTGTCCATCGAACTAAACCAATTTTTTTCGATTCCTAGGTGATATAAAAGTCCCATGCCCATGATAACTTCAGGAAAATTGCCTGGTGCGTAGGGCGCTGCCATTTTGAATTTTTCAAAATTCAGAAAAATCACGATCAGTTTTTTGGAAATATTTCCTCAACGGTTAATCCTACAAGAAAAACACGATTTTTTGCATTTTTTTTTTTTGCAAATTTGCAATAAAATCGTGATTTTATAGGCAGCGGTTCATCGCAATATCATCGAACAAAAAATCGTGATATATTGAGATAAAATTTCGACTTTATCGAACGACATTTGAATCAGTGAGAACGAAAACACACAAACTAGGTAAAATGAAAACAATCAAGACACACGGAAAATTGCACAGTAGGTGAAAAAGTTAGTTTCAGAAAAAGATTTTTGCTACCGAAAGACAAGTACTTTTGGACACTTTAAAGGTCTAAGTTGGAACAGACGCACTAACTTCAATGACCTTCGTGTAAATTAACTGTCTTAAATGGAAATTAAGCATTTTCGAGTAACCGAGTTGGTGTGTTTTTGTTCTCACTGATTCATTTTACAGAGATAAAATTGCGACAAGACCGCGAATAATCACTCAGATATTGCTGATCCCGGCGATTTCATCGCCAAAAAATCGTAAAAAAGTCACAACTTAATTTCAGAGTATCGCAATTTTTCCGTTGAAAAACGCTATTTGGGATGGGGTGGTTTTACAAAACTATACGATTTTCTTTTTTCTTCTTTTTTCTTTTTACAAGCTTCAAATAGCCCCTATAGACTAATCCCACGCTCACCACCAGCCCAACGTGACCATTGTCTGAGGCCATCAAACTCAGGTCACCTGGCCGGAAATCGAACCCGGGGCCGGAACACGGAAAAAATTAAATGCTGATTTATCAATTGAACTGTTTAAAAAAAGCCCGTCAGGTTTCAAATGCTTATTTTACAATACAAAAATGCCGAGAGAACATTTGAATTCGTTCGTTTTACAGTGGGCGTAGTTAAGTTAGCATTTCTCCAAATGTAAAATCGGCATTTGAAACTTGTCGGACATGTTTTTAACAATATAAATGCTAAATCAACATTTACTTTTTTCCGTGTACAGGGCCAGAAAAAAAATTACTTTAAAAAAATCAAAAATAAAAATCAATTACGTTAAAAAAAACTCGTCAATCGTTACGTGACGCAATTCATCTCTCCTTCCGTCCCTCGTAACGCGAGCTCAGAGCCCCCCCCCCCCCCCCCTCGAGCGTCATGTACTTTCCGAACGGCCCCCGATATAGCCGGTACCCCGAGCTTTGCCCGTCCAATCGGACAACGGTGGAGGAGCGCGATCAACACTCGACGTCGCGTCGCGCGGAGCAAGGTGGAACAGTGGTGGAGGCAGACTCGGAGCCCGTCAGCCTTGTCTCGCGCTCGCGTCGTGCGCGGCAGTCGTATTCGTGTCATCGCAACGGCGAGATGTGTCCCGTATCGAGCTGGAAGCTGCTCGCGTGCGCGAGTCTGTGCGTGGTGCTCCTGGCGGTGGCCGGGGTGGACGCCATCCGCGGGTGCCGCGATTGCGGGGGCGGGGCCGGCAGTGACGAGGACTACCACCAGCACAGGATACACTTCCCGGAGGAGGAGGCTGTCCTCGCCGAAAGGGAGGCTGCCGATGGGGAGTACCCCGGATCTCAGGTGCGTTTTATTGTAGCATCTGCAACGTAGTTGTGGAGAAACACACGAAGCTATACACGGATTGCATTTTGCAAAAAGGAACCGAGAGCATTCCTATGTTGCTAGGATTGTGTAACCTAAATTCTCTGTAAAAAATTTCTGAAAACGTAAAAAAAATTAAATTTACCAAGGTAATTTTTGTCTTGAATTCATGGTTTATTGGGAGTTAAGATAAAATTTGTTCAGATGATCTGTTTATATTCGCAAGGTGAAATAAGTTGCACAATCTTAGCGACATTGGAATGCTCCTGGTTCCTTTTTGCAAAATGCAATCCACATATGGATTGCATTTTGCAAAAAGGAACCAGCGCGATTACAGTGTTTCCCAAATCGTGCGACTTCCTCTTTCCTTTTTAAAATACTCAATATATGTACAGTACTAAAATTTAGATAATTATTTTCCTTTAATATTAACAATTTTTTGGTGGGAAGCAAAAAATATTCACTGGAAAAAAAAAAAAAAAAAAAAAACACATTGGATCTAGAGTCCAGACTCTTGAAAACATTGACAAGAAAAAATACACTTGATTCAATCGGATTTTTGCTTGAATCAAAACGAAATCCGCTTAAATTAAGAAGCTTGGTTCTTGATTTAAGCTAGATTCTGATCGAATCTAAAGTGCTTTTTCTGGTCGATGTTTTTAAGAGTCTGGACTCTAGATCCAATGTGTTTTTTTCCAGTGCACTCAATATATGTACAGTACTAAAATTTACACAATTATTTTCCTTTAATATTGACAAATTTTTGTTGGGAAGCAAAAAATACTTACTATTTCGAGAAATTTTTTTGATACTAAAGAAGCAACATTTTTACAACACTGTAATTGCGCTGGTTCTTTTTTGCTAAATGCGATTGAATTGTGGTGGGGCATTTTCCGTATCAATATTCAATGGATCGCATTTAGCAAAAGGGAACCAAGACGAATATAGTGTTGTAAAAATGTTGCTTCTTCATAATTATCTAAAAATTCTCCCGGCAAAGAGTTTTGGCTTCCCGACAAAAAGTTGTTAATTTTAAAGGAAAATAATTGTGTACATTTTAATACTGTATACATGTACATTTTCAAACGAGAGAAGGCGATAATTTGAAATTAACTTACGATTTTTTACGATTTTATGGCGATCAAATAGCTAGGATCAGCAACATATCGTCACCTTTCGGCCAAAGTATCACAGGCGCCATGCAATGTTTCAAAATTTTCGCAGCTCTTTTCAGTTTTTTACAGAGAAATTTTTGGTTGAATCCGATTGAAAATTACACTGAATTTTATCGGCAGCAACGACACGAACATCTGTAAAAAGTTTAAACTTTAAATGTGCTGAAGTAAATTTACGACGAGGTTCATTGCATCGTGGTCGGTTGCTGTGGTAATAAAACCATCAATCACGTCAAAATTTTGATTAAACCCATTAAGTTTCATTCCAATTCTCAAAACTGGCTCCAAGTTTGTTGCTCCGAATTTGTGGGGAAGTAAAGTAGGGTCAGGGAATACATCGATATACCAAGAGAAAACAAGAGAAAAATAATTGTCAGCTTTTAATTTGAAGAAACCAGGAACGTGATGATAACATCAGTCGAGCTAATCGACGTAAAAAGTTGAATCGATTCAATAGGGATTTCCCGATGAGGCGCGTTTTTGGCTCAATGATGTGTGTTCTAATGACGCTCACTTTCACGTGCATAACTCAAGTGGTATATTTTGTCACTGTAACATATCTATCAGATATCAGCGTCCTGGTAGACAGAATTCCTGACTGACATATTGAGCAACAGCCAAAATTGAAACGCTGGGTGTAGAAAGGGCATTTCTTGGTTGCAGTGTCTCAAAATCTCCGCTAACGTTTCATCCATCATAATTAAAGGAAGTGTGTGTAATTCGTTGTGACCTTTACTGAATAATAACTTTACAGTGCTGATGACGTAAACTTTCAGAAACTTCACTCAATGGTTTCCTCTCTAAAATAAAAATTGGTATTGAAGGTTCTGAAACACCGCGACTAGGAAATGTCCTTTCTGCACCCGACGCCTCAATTAGAGTCGGGTAAAGTAACAATAAAAAATCAATGCAAATTATTTACAGGCATGTATCGTTCAAAGTGTTTATAAAATAATGCCTAAAATTACTGCTCTGAGTTCTTGCGGGTGCCACTCCCATGGTCACTAAAATCTAGTATGAAGTTTTAAAGAAGTCAGAGTTATTGTAAAGCTGCAAAGGCCGGGAGACTTAAACGCCGGGTAGAGAAAAAAGGCGAAAATAAAGGTGTTACCTCATGGTGACAATGACTCGAACGATAAACGAGCGGAGTGCAAGTAGCGGACATAGCAGTCTTCTGCGCTTGCAATGTCGATCACTTTCACCTGAAATCACGAACACATTCCATCAATGTCAATCTTAGCGTCATGACGAAACATTCCTACAACCGCGCCACAGTAAATCCTCGTAGCACGCAGAGCGGATTTTTCATGATTTATCTATGAGAATGAATGCGCTAAATTGTTAGACATTAGAATTCCAAATTTGGCTGGCTATGCCATCAAACAAGGAAAATACGATGATAAGCATCGAGCTACAAGCCAATAAAAATGCAATATTGTTCAACTACATGCTGTTACAAGGATGCAATTGGAACAAAAAGAAAGGATGGGGAATTTCGTTCAGTTTCAATTATTTGCTTGTAACATCAATGTATAACATCGTGTAATTGAATATACTCACTGGAAACAAAAAAAACACATTGGATCTAGAGTCCAGACTCTTGAAAACATTGACAAGAAAAAGGACTCTCGATTCAATCAGATTTAAGCTTAAATCAAAAGAAAATCCGCTCAAATTAAGAGGCTTGGTTCTTGATTTAAGCTTAAATCTGATTGAATCAAGAGTTGTTAGAGCAAACGAAGAGTTGCTTCTCACGATAAATGACTCAAAAATCACTTTGAACACATCAACAAAGGCTGTAGGTAACGCACTCCGAACTTCTTCAATTGAGAAAAAATTGCCAAGTTTTGATCTTTTCCGCCTGAAAGTATACTATGGCAAAAACATTATTTTATACACACGAGTTGCCCCGGTTTCACAACTGCATGCGAAAGTGCAAATCGCTATACTGTCATGTCTCACAGTGGTCTTTTTTCTAATTAAAAACAAACATCACAACAAACACTATAGCATCCTCCATTCCCCGCTGTTCAACCTACGTTTGATGAATAGGAGTACTTTTGTTGTTTGTTTTTATTTGGAAAACTGTGTCACATGATGGCGGTCATTTTCAGTTTCGCACAGGGTGATCCATCTGTATAATGTTATGTTCTGCTGAGACATTTCTTTCTCTTTTTTTGGCAAATTGTGAAATCGGTAGTAAGCTGAAGAGAAAACTCTGCTTTTCGCTTTGGCCGAAGTTTTCAACCGACCCATTCGCTGGCTATTTCACTCAAACTCCACGAAAATTACTCTTTTCCCGATTTAAAAGATAGGGATCTCCTCGAGTTTGCCCTTAAAGGTCGTTTTCATAGTCGTTAGTTAACCATAAAGGCTTCCTTAGCCCAATACAATTCCTATGGCTTGAGGAGGCCTTAATGTTTAAGGAGTGACTATGATTATGACCTTAAATGGGCTACCTTCATAGGCGTGCCTAGGTCATTTTGCTAGGGGGGCCTGGCCCTCTACCACTGGGGGGACTATGGGTGTGGATTCCCCTAATTCAGAGGGGAATTCGGGAGGCTTCCCTCGGGAAATTTTTCAAATTTTAGATCTATTTGGACGCATTTTGAGGCCTCCGTGACGGATATGTTCCACCAATTTCTGCAGAAAAATTACGCTTTTTTTCACTTTCAGGAAAGAATACTTTCGAATTGTTGCATTTATTTCATCCCGAAAATTTTTGAAATTTTAACTCCATTTGGACGCATTTTGAAGTTTCCGTGATAAAAATTTTAGAAAATAGGTACCAACTTAATGAACACGGTGTTTTCATTTAGACGTATTTCTGCCAAACGGAACTATGTGCGTTAAGACATGAATCCTGAGACCCGTAGGGATGTATGCATAACAGGACCCACGTCATAATGCACATAGTGCCGTTTGACAGAAATACGTCCATTTATGACTCTACATTAAGAGAGATAATCATATTCGACTAAGGTTTCTTCCCACCATCCAGAAATTCTGGGGGAGCAGATGGTACAATTTTCAATTCTAGGGGGGGCGAGCCCCCCTCCTCCGTACGCCTATGGCTTCCTTGAATAAAAGAGCTGCTGAAGGTACGATATGAATAATTGAATACGGCGCTTTACTGCCGTGCTAAGGAAAAACGCCGCATGAGTCCTCAGACGTTGCCAAGTCGACAAAAACCGAATTTACTGGAAAAATTGTGAATATTATTTTCCAAAATTTTCAGGCAATATTGCACGCAATTTAATCTAAAATATCTGAAAATTTCAAGTCAAAATATGCATGAATGTTGTCAAAAATACAGGTTTTATTGAGGGAACCTTGGCAACTTGCGGATGTTCATACGGCGTTCTTCCTAAGCGCGGCAGTTTAGGTAGGCAATTCTCTCGAGTCGCGAATTTTCCACAATTGACCCTCGCGAGATCGTGCGAAAATACGGACGATGCGTTCCTGGTCCATGACTCTGGTCACTTAACCCCCCGATGACACCATCGAGACAGCGATGCTGCAGACGAGATTGGGAAAGATGCAAGAGCAGCGTCTTTCTCGTATCACTCGGGGATCGGGAGCAGGCGCGCGCCGAGCAGGTGTTTGCCAATGCTGCAAACCTCTCGTAGCTGTAATTACGTCCGACGACGGGCGAAAAACACGTGTCGGAATAATAGATAATGATGACGCCCGTTTTTTTTTTCTCGAGGTTTTTGTCGCAATTTCGCGCCGAGAAAAACGCAACTTCGGCGATTTTGTCTCTTTGATGCACGAATCCGAATAGAAACAACAGTCGGCACGATG